GCAAATGTATTTAGCCATAACACAAATATTATGCAATTATCTAATTTATTATGGCTAAAACCAAATATATACAACAAAAAATGAAGAGCCCCTAAGTAAATGACTTTCAGTCATTTGGTCCAGTCTGTTTGGGTAGTTCTTATTCGGTAACAGGGCTATTTCTATTTTTTAAAGGAAAAAAATAGAGTCTTACATCCAGAAGCTCCCACTCATTTTTGTGTTACACCTTCAGTGATATCTATTGTCTTCTACGGGCGGTTCCATTAAAAACCACAATTCATGATGAGGCTTCTAGGCAGACCACATAATTAACTCCTTTTTTGTTACCACTTGCTAAATTAAAAAATGCAAGACAGTTGTGGGAGGTGAGGTTTCAAAGAGGGACTGTCCACAGAATGTACGATAATGAGCAGAGCACCAAAAAAATAAACTCTGCCCTTAATTCTTGTTCTTTTCATTTTGTGAAAAAGGAGAAAATGTACAGCGAGGGAAAAAAAACTCCCATATTCCTCCAGCAATGCTGATGTGGAAATAATGACGAAAAAAAACGTAACAGGTTCCCACAAATGGTCTACAGTAGCTTCCTTTTAAAATGCATTAAGCCGAACAAAATAAAAAGGAATGTGCCAAATGCATTCATACTACATATGAAAATATGCCTAAACATGAATACACATGTAGCTGCGTACAGGCAGAAATAATTATTTATAATGAAGGGTTTTCTGAAGTGTATTTTGTCAGTCTATGAAGAAATTACACATTTTTCCTGTGAAGCAGAAAAAAAAACATGGAACAGCGATCTTTTCATCTGTCCCTGAAACAGTCCAATTGGATCTCGGGCCGTTCCTCATCCCTCCCACAGAAACACTAATTGTAGATTGCAGAATACAATAACTGACACTAGAAGGCAATACACATTAATGAATCCCCTCTTTAACGAGCTCTTATTATCTAATGTTATCAAACGTCTCACACACTTATCAGATTGTTTTTTGCTTTTTTTTTTATTATTCATGCAGCGAGTGACCTGAAACTTTAAAGAAAGATTGTAAAACCAACTGACAAAGAAATCTACAGCCAAGACTTCCAGGCTTTAGAACTCTTCCCGATATATCAGAATGATAAAGTTCAATTTTTTTTAAAGAAGTAAATTGTGTGGGCTCTTAAACTAAACAGGTACCATCTGATCAAAAATAGATTGCAATATTAAATGTGTTTGTTTGCTTAGTAGCTTTTTTTGTTCAGGGCATCTTATAAAGTAGCAAGGTAGAAGACACAGTACTGTACGGTATATATATACGATATGCAAAATTCTTAATTAAACTGTATTATAACATTGAGACTGGGTTCAGATACATATGAATCAATATTAGGATGGTTACATAAAAATACTGTATGTGTAGAATAAAGTAGTACATCTTGTTTGGAAAGTGGAAGTCTTCACAGTCTTTTGATTCAGCAAATGCATTCATTTACCATTTAGTGCTCAAGTCTTATGAAGAAACAATAATTAGCGAATTAGATATCTAAGGTCCAAATGTCCACAGCAGATAAACTACGGACTCCCCATGTGAAAAATAAAGACAGCAGGTATGCCTGCACACAGTGAGATTTTGGTCCCTGCATATCTGACACAGAAATGGGATCCTGTTAAATGCAGGCGTGTAGAGTGAATTTCTTTGGTGTTGGTGCGCGCACAATGCAGAACAGCTTCAGACATCTTCCGACTTCACTACAGGTAGATTACGTAGTAGCACTTAATTTCCTTCTGCTTAACGACTGTTTTTCTTTAAAAGGGCAAGCCTATAAATTAACTCTGGAATTTGAAATTCGGATGTTCTTGCCTTTGAAACAAGATGCTAAAGGTCTGAAATGGTCGTCTAATCTGATGCAGAAGACCTGTTACAGTTAAGTGAGAGTAAAAATCTCGTACTGCTTTTACATTGAACGGTGCCCTTTTCTCTCTCAGAAGCAGGTCCTTCTCTTCCTTATATCACCTGTTTTTTATTTCCAGCTGAACACTGTTAGTCTGAGTCATCAAGCCCTTAAAGTTTTCCTAACACTTTTAAAACCGTTTCAGCTCTTACAAAGTAGAACAAGGTCAGAACTTAACGTGAAATAATGCCAGATACTGGGTTAAAGCTCTCCTTAGCAATCTTTTGAGTGTGTGTGTCATTTGCACCTGTGTCTGCACATCCTCAACCCACAAATGATAAGAGTGTCATAGAAAGCTTTAGAGGTGTAACTATACTAAACCAGGACGTGACCGATCTCCACTCACTGTATTGAGAAGAACTCTAAATGACGCACGTGAAAGAAATGATTTGTGAGACTAAGTGCAATTAACACTTCAATAAGCTTTGTTGGTTAAGAGCTGGGCTGGAATGAAAACCAGAAGACAGGGCAGTGCTCCAGAGCCGGGGCTGGGACAGACTCCTCTACGGCGAAGTGGGAGAAAGCAAATGTCGTCTCGCTTATTTTCTCATCTCCTACAGGCACACGACTTCATGCTTAACTGTGTCATTGTTTAGCCAAGGTCTTTGGAAGCTGGGATGAATCAAATCCCTTGACTGACAGGCAGGCTCCTCAATTCCCATGTATCACAACTTTTTCATGGGTGTTTAGAGTGCGTAGAGTATATAGCGAGTTATACTTCAAAATGACCTGTCCTCAACCCGGCTCAGCGGAGCGATACGTTTTGCAGTCCCTACCAAACTTTCCCATCAAAGTGTGGATCCGGCACCTAGCTATTACAGGACAGGTGCCAGAACAGTTTCCTGTCAATTATGTGAAAAGGAATCCTTGTTTGTCAACCTGTTTAACAGCTGCATCTTATTCTCAGGCACGTCCAAACTAGACTTCAATGGGCTGACCAATTCATCCACCAGAATCCAACTCAATGGGGTAATGTGTTTTCTGTGATGAATCAATATCTACATGGGACACCTCTGATTGCTGAAGAGCACTGTTGATGAAGTACAGCTGTTCCTGAGTTCCACTGTTCAAGAGTTTTAAAATCTCACATGTACTCTCTAAACCAATACTAAGCCATTGTGAAAGACACGGAGACATCTTACATCTATTCAATTCAGACATATCAATAATTCCAGTGTTTAAGAATTCTCATAGTATGTCAGGCTAAAAGATTTGAATTTTGTTAGCTTTGAACAGAGAAAACTGCAAGGAGACCTGGATCAAGCATTCAAAATTCCCAGCACAGGGCACAACATGGGACAACACTCTGAACTGGACACCAGTCCATTGCTGACAAAAAATACAAACATGTATATATGTACTTCATACTGTATATACAAGCATATATCCATAGTTCCTATAATGAATTACAATATGTTGTACTAATGTTGACATGAAAAGATGCAGTGAACTACAAGCTAGTTTACAAGCTAGCATTTTGGAGTCCAGAAATGGGAAAACAGGATCATATTTTACTATGTACTCACACTTAGAAAGCTTGGAAATATTTAAAAATGTGGAGTTAACACCAAGGCAGCTGATGTAACAATTTAAAAACATAATATTTGTTTAAAAACTAAATCAGAAGAATTCCCAGAGTGTCAGTGAAATATGAAAACATAACCAAGGCATGTGGCCAATGAATTACTGTACTGAAAATACTGTACCATAAGGTTTTAAAAATAAAAATAAATTTCGGGTGAGATATTGAATCCACAAGTAAACCTCTATTCGACCTGTTTTGGCACTTCAAGATCAAGACTTGCCATTATACGGAATTGTTTCGTGGCTATTTTTCTTTCTCTTAACATGAAAAGTTGAGACATAGGTTTGGGTTAGGTCAAAATTTTGCCTCACCTGCCAGATTCAAATTGCAAACACGTTACCTGATAGCAATTTTCCATTGAGTTGAAGACAAAAGCTTCTGGTAGACAAAAAAGTCCACATGGGGTTATAGTAATTTACAACTGAAAAGCGCACAGAAGATGTGATTTAACCCAATCATTTAATCAGTCAGGTGGGAGCTGCACGTCAATATAGTGGATAAGCCCTTTTTCGTGAAAAATGCTATATAAAAGCAATGTATTATTATTAATAATAAAATAAGAAATTCTTAATTAGTAAATGTTTGGCTTATGGTGCTATAATTATTAAAATCATGCAAAAACACATTAAATATGGCAACCAAACTGTAATGTATCAGCTGTAAACCTAAAGAAATGTATTATAAAAAAATCTACAGCAAAATCTAAATTTCTGTTGCGTAATGTCAATTTTTGTAGAACAGGGGGTATAAAATACTAATTTATCTAACTAAAAATCTTAACCTTCTTTTTAATTTGGTCTGATTGTAAACAGGAACAACCCAGGTTTACCACACCTTGTCGGCTGCCCTTAAAAAGACTTTTTATTGTGACCGGATCACGTACTTGAGGAAGGACCTCCTGAGCTCTCTGCCCTGTAACCTCCTGTGAGCCCCACAGTGACCGCAGGAAGCGTTGCAGGAGGAGTGATGCAGCTCTCACTGACTACACTGCAACCTCTGGGGTCTCTGTTGTAAAGAGAACTAAGGATGTCCTGCAAAACTCTATCCCATCAAGACCTGGCAGTGCTTGGCCACAATCCTGGCTACAGCCTAACACCAACCCAATTTCAGATCAGTGATGTCTGACCTACTGGTCTCAACCTGCACTGTAACTTGAAGTGATTAGGGAGTCATGGCTTGGTGCCATGTCACTCGCTGTTAAACTGTATAATTCTTCCAAGTTCAGAGGTTACCGATGGAAGCTTGACCTGTACTGCTTGCTAGGGCAGGAACTGCTCCGGCCTGTTGTTGATCACTAATTTCCATTCCGTTCTGTTTGTATTTCACTTTTACATGGACAGTTCATGCAAAAGAAGGGCTTGTCATTTAATTGGGCACACAGATTTCATCAGGAAAAACAACATTATTTCTAGAAATGTTCAAATGTACAAGAAGGAGCATGCAACTGTGGAAAGCCCACTGTTAGGATCTTTACTATTACCTGGCTTATTCTGCAGGCCTTATCTTTAAGGTGCCCCACAAAGGAAATCACATCTGGATATCTGCACATCTGGAGAATACAGCGAAGACCAGCCATGACCAAAGAGCTTCATACGATAAAGGTAATCAGAACTCCAAGCACATCCATGTGGTTGAGCTGGACAAAAAACTCAGGATCCAACCACAAACTTTCCAAACCTTCTCGGTAAATAAAATTACTTTTTTTCTCGAACACTTCATATGCATCCACAGTAAAACAAAGGATTTGTGAGAGTTGATGTTTCAGCATTTGCAGCATGTTACTTTGTATGGAGTATTCATTAACTGGGGTCCCAGAGTTGTGTACAGGAGTATGGCCTTTTAGTGCTTTGCTATAAATGCACCTGAGGATTTTACTGACACTGCATAGACTGATGGTTGTTTGACATATCAAATTTCATAGTGCATATTTCCTGTGACCTATAAAACTCAAGCAATGAGCATGGCTTTTGTGTTCTACATCAAATTCTCTAGACAATGGTAAGCAATGCATTTTATAACCTGCATGCATGCCCAGTAACTGTCACTCAGCTTCTGCTTATTGATAATGCAGATACGGTGCATTTTATGGTTTCTCACAAGAAAGGCCTGATACAGGATATTTTGTTCTACAAGCACATATATTTTAGTGTGCCAAAACAAAACACAAGAACACCTGTTCTATTTCTGAGTTAAAGTATCTATTTTGACTGCATCCTGACAGTGGTTATTAGTGCTTGAACAGATTAAGGACTTTCCTGTCTCATTCCAAGGTTTGTGGTCACAATGATTCCTCTGCATCCTTGATCCTTGTTTTGAATATTACTAGTTAAGTGTTTATAACAAAACAACCAGTAGCTTCTCTGAAAGTCTAAGATCTTAAAATGAATCATCATTATGTTAGAAGCATGACCATTTTATGGTATATACAAATATTTCAGATTACTGAGTATTGGATGTAGTGTGTGTGCAACATTTCAATGTTATAGTTTAATTTATATTGTACGATGTTCCCTTCCCCAGTACATCTTTGGCATTATTAATCACAATGGGATCTTTTTTCTAGACAAACATTTTAAATGAATTTAATTTCATAACATTATAGCCCCAAAATATACAAAAAAAACAGTGCCACATTGTTGAATTATTTATTTACCCTAAATATTTTAGGAAACAAAGCTCTTTCATATTTTCATCAAGGATTTTAGTAAAGAAAAGGGTTGTAAGTTCTGATGGCATATTTGAATAAGCAGCCCTCAAAACATTGTTCCATCTTTACTGTTTTCTGGAGCAATAACACATCTAGATCACCCAAGTCTCTACAGTACTGTATGTGTACTTTGCTGCAGGCAGGCACACAAAACTTCTGCAAATCCTGACACTGCTAGTGCACAGTCATCTGGGCATACATCAAAGATCTCCTGCTTTCTGGCGCTAGTACCTTAACTTACCTCATAGTGGCCTAGCTTCGGGAATAATCTGAGACAGGTATATTTGCCCATTGTCTTCGAACTGATTACGTTTCTGGTCATCTCTTCTTACTCTGTAACACAAGAGGAACGACACTAAGAAATGCACGGACCTGAAGTGCATTTTATTTCTCTAAAATAATAGAGCTTTTAAAAAACAAATCGGTGAAAACGGCACATAACCCTAACTTAAGGATACTCAAGTGAAGAAAATTGTACATCTGGAAAAAATAAGATGAAAAGGTGAAAATAAATTAGAATTTAGTATATGGCCTTTCATTAAATAGGCCTTTCCTCTGAAATATATGCATAAAATATTAACATTCCACCACTCAGTATTCAGTCTTTTACATTTGCCAGATCCTGGTGCTTCATCAATGAATTCCAAAGAGTACTGACTCTTGAATCTTACAGGTCATCTTCTAAAGGCTGCCCATTTGTTTAGAGACATCCCATTGTCATTTCTGACCCACGCATGCAATTTGAATGTGAAATCTCCGTGCTGAAGTAAAAAGGTGGAGTTGGGTATCTGGGAGAACCAAAGAACTTTGATATCTTGGGATGACCACTGCCTAACCTTGAACACAGGAGGACAAAGGCTAAGTCAATTATGATGTAATTTTGGTTGGAAAAGCTTTTGTCATCAAGGATTAAAGGGTGTGTTCAGTTTATTTTTTTACTCCACATAAGCCCACTCAAAACTCTCAGCTTGTTGCAATTTCAATGAATGTGTTAGGGAGAACTTCATGAAAATTGATTGTTCTGATATGATTTTTGTCATTCTCTTTGAAAAATAAAACAATTTTAAACATAATGTGTTTAAGAGGACATATGCGTTTTTTATTTTGTAATGTATGAATATTGTAAACAATAATAACCAAATAACTATTGAGCCGCAGTATGATTATTCCGAGTTGATGATGCGAAAACAGATACTGTAAATGGTACTTCTGATTACTTGATGTCTAACTGCTGAAAAAAATGATAACAGGAAATTCATGCAAGGGAAGAAAGTTACTCAACCTGATAAGAATCAGGTCTTATTAAATGACAAAGTCTGACATTAGATAGATAGATACTTTATTGATCCCATGAGGGAAATTGCAGATTTCAATCCCATTCATAGAGGAGATACAGTTTGATCAAAACTTAGAAAGAATAAACACCTGATTAAAAAATAACAGTCATCAAGTAGTTAACAATATTTTTTTCTGAAGTAGAATGTTCTTCAGTGATATAAAATAAGCTATGTCTGGCAATATTCAGCTGGGCACACTCCTTTCACATGCATGATATTCCCAGTCAGAAATGAAACCAACCCAGAGTCTTTATGGGAAGGATAGGGCACAATATACGACTACATCCTGAGCAAGACACCAGTCTATAAATGGGCACACACACATCAGAGACACCAGCCTAGCCAGTACGTTCTTGGGAGGGGAGGAAAGTGGAGCAGCTGAAGAGCACACAGGATGGGGACAAATTCCATACAGAAGGCACCCCTGTCTGCAACTGTGCTCAGAAACCAAAAGCTGTGAGAATACACCACTAACTACCTCTCAAACAAATGTGCATCTTCATACTGGCCTAGGTGCTTACTGTGTTTTGGGAATCTTAAATATGCAAGGTGTACAGAACTGAAACTCACATGCTTTTAGGAGAAACATTAGGAGTGACATTTTGTCACTTTACCTCTTTGGCATGTGAACAAGTGAAATGATGACACACAAAATCAATTAAAACTGCTAATTCTGCCTTAGCATTTCAACAGAGGCAACAGAGAAACGATTTGACCAGTTTATCAGCCCTCCGTTCAGACTGCAGAAAGACTCAGTTCAAGCGCCCACTGAAAACTGCAATCTGCGTTTTCTGTGTGTCATCTCTTTTGCCATCACCAGTAGTGTTTCAACTGCACAGAACAATAATGGATTTTGTATAAGACATTTACCCCCCACCTGCAATTAAAGGTTTAGAAACACAAATCCATAAAACGACAAAAAAAAAACATCATGATATGCTGACTATGCGCAACATTACCTAGACACTGCATTGGGTCTGTGAAAGAGACAGAGTGGGGTTATTACTGCACAGAGCCTGAGAGACAAGGAGGGGTTAATATAAACATACAGCTTATTTCCATATACTTGCTTTACATAAAATGGCATGAAGCTGATTTGGCCTCTGCTATGTACAGCTGTACTTAATCTGGAAAGCTAGTTTAACAATGCAACTGGAGCTGCGAGGAAGGCCTGAAAACGGCGTATTCAAGCTGAGGGCCGGCCGTATTCACAACGCACAGATATGCTGGTAAATGCAGGGGCGTCCTCTCCTTTCACTGGCATGTGTGTGCTTTACGGTGAGCACGGCCCCCAGTGTGGCGCGGGCAGTGAGGACATGGGCTGCCCTGTTTCCCCTTGATGAAGTTGCCCTCTCCCTCTGCAGATTGCCAGCCTTTTTTTTTTACATCCCCGTTCCCTTCTGCGCTGGGGCGCTGGGGCGCTGTGCTCCCTGTGCAGGGCATGCCAGCGCTGCTGATGCCTGCATCCGACTGCAGCATGGCCGGGCGCATGTGAGCATTCACCAGGAAGGGGAGACTCAGCCTCAACAATGGGCTTTCTCAGAAATGAATTATTCTGCTTACCACTACAAGGGGCGATAATGTTTGATCCTTACTTTCCCTACTTTTCAGCATTAGGACTGTATTACAGTAAAGGTTTTATTACCACTGCAATGACAATGACATATGAGGTACAACATTTGCCAAATAGTATATGAGACCTACAGTGTTCTAAGATATAAAAACAATATACAGTATTTGTCATTATCCATTCTCTAACACTCTACAGCAACCATTAACCACTACCTAGTATCAGTAAGTGCTATATTTCCTCTGTAACAAAAGTTTTCACACTGTGGTTCAATGAGCACTTACATTCCATTAATATATGACAGGCGACCCTGAGACATGCAAAAATTAAATTAAATCGACCTATTTCCATGACTGCTTTGCACATTAGAGTATCTCATCACTGCTCAGCAAAGACTTCACACAGCACGTTTTTTCTTTATGTTCATTTAACAATACAACCATTTAAAACCATCAAAGCAAACATATGCACTTTCAATGTGAAAAAAGTATTGGGAAAGACTATGTAAAAGACTAATAAGAAATATGTTGGCTTTTCTGTGGTTAACCTCACAGGTTTTTAATGTTTTTTGTTTCTATTTCTGTAAAAAGAAATGTTAGATTGCTACAAACTCTTACCTGTTACCTGGCACATACTTAACCCTTCATCATCAGATCCCATGCATACTGTACTTCCCTCCTCTATGATAATATATAATAAACTTTAATTTATTCATATTTCCCCACATTTCTAAATACAGGGAAACAATTTTTATAGTTTTGATATTTCTGCTGTGTTCTAAGCTTCTAATCTATGTGGAAGTCTCAAAATAAATTGCTTTACCCTGTAGAAATGAGATGCCAGGATAATGCAAGCATGTTCTATTTCTTAAACAGATCAAAAGACACACACAAATTCTAAAGCTTAAATCTGATCCTCCAATTTTCAGCATTTGATTCCAAATTCATGGTTAGATGTAATAATCAGCTCAAGAAATAGCATTTGCATTCTGAAGGACTACAGAAAGGCTCTCTCTAAAAGCATAAACGTTGTTTAAATTTAGTTATCTTTGCCTTTCTCTTTTGCCATTTAACTTTCTTTGAAGTAAACAAAGGTTTTTATTCTAACATCAAGAATTATTGTAAGGTATAGAAGAAGAAACCAAGCTGACCGGTAAAAGACCAAAACATAAGATCACTGACCTTTTCAGGTTGTTACAATTATTTAATAAGGAAGCAGTGAGCAAAAGAGGCAGTATTAAATACAGTATATCCATTTTAAAATAATAATAAAGCATGTTTATATATATATATAAATATGTGTGATATACATTTTTGCTTACTTGTCTAGGAGTCTTTAATCTGCATATGGATGTTTGATAGATTTCATCTTAACCTTTTTTTTTGTTTGATTACAGCAGTGAATAACCTTAGTCCACAAAAGTATAATGGAATAAGGATATTAAAAATTGACAAGCCCCCATAAGACCACAAACATCTGCCCTAAAAAACGATAGTATATTTTGATAGACCACTTGCTTCAGTGATTTTTATTTACTGATCATTTTCATGCCACGTACATGTTCTTCACTTCTGACTGAACTGAAAGGGGTAAAAATACAATTATTAAATATAGCTATTATGTTGCAGTACAAAAACATGCAAAACATAACTTATAAAATATTTATCAGCTAAGCTTAGGAGCATCCTAGATTATAGAACAGGAAAACTGACAGTTTCATAACAACAACCTACTACAGGAATACATTCAAACAAGGTGTAGAATTGACTGTAATCAAAGCCCTAGTTTAAATCAGGCCCTAAATTAGCTGATCAATATTAAATAATTAGCTGATGAAAATTAAAATTAATTGTCAGTACTTAAAAAATAATGATTTCCAGAAACCTGCAATGCTGCTCAAATCCTAGTTTTCTGTGTTAGTCTTACAATGTATGCATACAAACTTGAAAAATAGCTTGTCTGGCATACCATTTTCTGTACATCCAATATATACCTAAAAAAATGAAGCCTTCCAGACTTAATTTAATCGAGCTACTCTCTACACATCATGTTTATTAAAACCCTTAGCTTCTAATGGTTAGAAAGCAAACACACTCACTTTGCGTGGCCCACAAACTTAAATGCTTATCAAATCTAAAAGACCAAACGCATGTCTTAGCTCAGGATGGCTGATATTTGAAGCTGTCAAATGAAGAAACCATAGCCTTGAACCAAGGGGTTTGCGTCCTTAAAGGTACAGGAACCAGTAAGAAAAAACAACAACAACAGCAAAGTTTACCCATTTCCTGCATCTGATGCTGCTGCAGGCTCTGCACATTCAAGTCCAATTGATAAAAACATGCATACAAAACCTTAATCCTTAAACAGGGTCATTAAAATTAAAATAGGCAAGGAGGAAAAGCATTGTGGGAAAAGCATTAATATGC